CAATTAACACCATTCGTGACACGGCCGCGCAATTATCGTGGCATCGCGTGGGCGTCGCTGGAAACACCGAACGGAATAAATATTACGCGACGGGCGATCAAAAAATCCCGGCGCGCTGGAGGCCTCCTTAAACTTGATTTGTGCTCAATTACCGAGCTATGCTCCCTCCAGCCTCCCCCTCGCTGTCCTCGAACAACCCCCCACCCTTGGTCGTGCGCGAGGATACTCTTATTATAAGATGCCGGGCGTACGGACGTTCGCGTACGTCGCGACGCGATTTTATTTATACGCACTGCAAACCACCCGCGTCTCCGCGGCGTCGCGTACGCGACAAGACGCTCACGACCAACCGCGACGCCCGGTCGGAAGGCGTCGAGCAATTCGTTTCGCATTTTATATCCAGCCGCGGGAAGGTTCGCTGATTCACCCCCGCGAAACCGGCGTATTTCGATCTCCGTGGATTAATCCGGCGTTTTCGAACGTTTCTCTGATCGTGATTTGAAGATTTTCGTACCTCCTCTCCTGGTACAATAGTCGATTAACGCGTTCACTGTCTATGACCCGTACATGGGTGATACCATTGCGCTATTGGACACGTCGCTGAGAGATTGGACAGTGAACGTGTCAAGGTTTGAAAAAGTGTGGTGTAATTAGGTACTTCGAATGAAAGAATTAACTATGTAAAAATACTGAGAAATACCGTGGGAGTAAGACACCACTAGGGGTGAGGGGGTGAGAAATGATCGAAAACGGCCGATGTTGGGTGTCGACTCCATGGTTTTCGGGGCCTCTAGACCGATTGGTGACAGTCTCGATGGCATTTGAGTCCAAGTTATATAAATCAATACTCGAGCAAGCCTGACGACCAGCTGGTTGGAAATGAAATAAGAATGAAATTGTAAGCGTGTCCCTGAAGCGGAAAATGTTTTCCGCGAACTTGCACGATAACGGAAGGGATGAAAGGGGTGACCGAGCTCTCGACGCTCGAACATCACGGTAAACAGGGGCCGCTGTAATTCGGATGGTGGCGCAGGTGGTACGCGGAAACATCTATCAAGATAGCGGGATACGAGCAAGGGGAACAGTTCCGTCCTCGGCGGAGAGAAAACGGGGAAGAGGACGGGACGCCGGTGGATCAACTCGAAGAAACGAGGGATTTCACGGGTACAGGATGCGCTAAGCTCCCGAGAGGGCGTTCCGCGCCTCGTCTTAACCCTTTTCATCTGCCACCGCGCGGAATTAACTTTCCTACGAGACTCGTCGAGAACCGATTTTTCTCAAAATCTAAACAAATCTTGGTTCGAGGATATCAAACATAGAAGTTTCGTTCAAATACGCTCGTTTATACTGCAAGGAGAGCCTTACGGGGTACCACGAGGATTAAAAGATGTTACAGCCACGATAAAAACATGACTGCTGGCTAGATCTATAGTAATGATTCTTAAAATTCATAATAGACATCCAAGGGCTCCAATGTCCAATTTATCTATTCTAGTTCATTATTTCAGTTTTGTATTAAGAATGAACAAATACTGGATTCTATAATATCTCTCTACATTCGACAAATATTATTTTTGTAATGTATAAGACACGATTGTTATGATTCAGGCCAGGTAAAAGTCTCTTTTCGCCTTGTTTTCGGAGCGTAAAATCGTGCTCTGAGAGGATCACCATTAGCAGACCAGCCCATGTACGCGTCCTACATCGAATATTCTCGAACACCGCGACAATCGAACGCGCGGTCACTTTATCGCACTTATCCGGCGCACCTGCAACCGCGTTCTAAGCGGATGCAACCACCTACGAGCTCTCGGTTAACCTGTTCGAGTCCTGTTCGGTCTCGACGATCGGAAAAGAATCCTGGCCGGGGCACATATGTAACCCCGGGGGGGGCGCATGCCAACGGTATCTCGTATTCGCTATCGCGTTTATGGCAGCGCGGAACCGAAAATCTCGCTCGAGTACACGGGCCCCGTGAGTGCGTTTATCGGTAGCGTCAAAATTCCGCGGAATTTACGGTGTTTCCGTTCCGATACAGTCCGAACGTCGAAGTGGTTCGAAGTCCACGGCGAGAGGAGAACAAGTGGCGTGGAAGAGGACAGGAACGGTTCTGGAAATCGGTCGAGGGAATACAAAGAAGCTCTCCGGGTCTTTCTCCGTCCCGCGCGAGACGGCCCAGATACGAAAATCGTAAAGTCGCTACATAATAGCGGCTAGTATAATCCGGTACGGCACTTCGCGCCGAGATTAAAGGTGCATAAAAGCTGGCTCGGTATAAACGTTGTATAAGCTGCTCGCCTACCTGGCTGCCAAACGTGCACACAGCGAGATATTATTTTCAACGTCTCGTTACGTCGCTGCCAGGCGGTTCGACAGCGTTACGGTTTTATTCCGTCGAACCGCGGGAATTATTGCTTCGCGGCTCGCGTGTGGTCGAGCTGCTTCCCAGTGTTCCCTGACGATGTAATCGAAGCATTGCAACGACCATAACCGCACAAAAGACTTTATTCCACTTTATTTGGTTACCCGAGTAACTATAATGGTGGACAAATTCTTCGACAAAATTAAAAAATTTTAAATGGTTCTAAAAAAATTATTTTTAGTTGTAGAGGTCCATTACAATCATTTTTGGTGAATAGGCATACCCCCGAATTCCTACGCACTTTCGAGAAAAAAATTCGAGTAGGTGGACAAATTCTTCGACAAAATTGAAAAATTTTAAATCGTTCTAGAAAAATTACTTTTAGTTGCGGGGGTTAATTTGAATCATTTTTGGTGAATAGGCACACCCCCGAAATCCTACGCACTTTCGAGAAAAAAATTCGAGAAGGTGTAAAATTGTGTATGGTGCTTTGGAATGTCAGCGATTTAATCGATACCAAGCGAATCGAATTTTTATTTGAATCGCGGCGAGAATGAATGCTCGACAATGGGTCAGGAGGAATGTGGTACCGCGAGTAGAATGTGGACAGTGTCTGACCCAATACGATCCGCATTTACTTTCGTCGCTCATTCGACTCCCGTTTCGAAATAGCTTTGGGAAATTATGAGAGAACAGTTTCTTTGCTGTTTAAAAAGATCCCAAATAGGATTTGGGGTAAAAATTCATAAATACTAAACTATTGAATTACTGGTACGAGGTATTTTCTTTGAACTATGCCTAGAGTCCATCGAGATTAACAACCTATTCCTAAACTATGCTGTTCAAAAAGGTGAAAAACCACCGTCGTAGAATAGTCGTTCGAGACGAGTATCGTGGGGGTTTACGACGCAGAGAAAGTCGAATGTCCTATAATGATTGGACGCGTAACGTGGGAAACGTGTCGTGAAAGGAATTTCGAAATTGGGGAATGTCCGTGGGTGGTATTATTGCACCGTGAAATGCGAAATGGCCGCTCGTAAATGTAGACGATTACGGACTATGTTTCTTCTTGGCTCGGATGATGGATCTTGCGGTCCGCCGTTCGCATGGATACAGACGCTGGTCAATAGAAACGTTCTATAAAGTTTTGTGTATCTAGTGTTGTATTAGAAATAATAGAAAAACAAGCCATCGTCCCACTGTGTAATTACAAATGTAACTCTTCTATCAAAAGCAAAGACTTTCTCCGTCACTTTATCGAAATAGAACTCCGGAGCTTTATACCTCGTTAAACTCGAGTCGCGAGTACCGCGATTAATAAAGTTTCTTTTTTTTTTTTATTTTAACATTAAAAGAGTACGTTTCGTACTTTACGTCCCATAACTTTTCAACGTTTACGACTCCGCTGGATTCCTCGGTCGAAAGCGACAGTGGAAAAGAAATCCAATCTCGCAAGGTGGACGCGGAAGTAGACGACAGCGAACAATTTCGAGGGAAACGGGAGATTAAAAGTATAATTCCTCGCTCGCCCAGTATTCGTTGTTAGAAATATTTTATCCAAGTAAGAGTTCCGTCCATTCTTTGATCGCGACGCGGAAGCCAATCGAAAATGGCAGCTTCGTCTTCGACTGGTGGCAGTCTTACGAGGGGATGTATCGCGGGAATTTCGAAATGTAGCGCAGCGGTGCGTGGCCTGGGGCCCCAGCAGCGTTGTTCCTCGTATTTCGCGTGATCGGCGCGGTGAAATAATCAGCTTGTCGCGACGTCGACGGATCGCACGGTTCGTTTCGTTTGACGGACGAGAGTAATTTCAGCGTGTCCGGAATCCGCGTATCACGCGCGTATCCGGGCGAGGCAGAAAGAGTGTTCCAGGCACGCAGCCCCGTACAGAGATAACACGGAGAACCTGTCGCCGAGCGTGCGTCGAACCCGCTTCTCGTCAATCCCGTGACGCGCTTCTGACGTCGAACTTTCCGGCTCGCGTTCGCGATACACCCGATCTCGCTGGATGATAATTATCGCGTCGCCCGTGGGGAGCAGGAGACGAGAGAGAAAAAAAAGCAAACGAATCGCCCTTTCGATTCGCCCGAAGCTAATTCCAGCTAATTGGTGATCTTGAGACGCGTTCTGGATAAGAACCGGCGGACGACGAGACCAACGTCGATAGAGTATCTCGATGACACTGGGTAGGATCGAATATTGATTATAGAAACCCTCGTTATAACGAACCGTCGACGATTCGATCTGTGGAACGTTTGTGGGCATTTATAAAATTGTATTAAATTACTAAACTAAATAATGTTGTTGAAAAACGAAGATCCTGCTGTGTGTAAATTGTGGCACACGCAAGCTACTGTCTGTTAAAAATTATTGGATCGCAAAATACGAAAAGTCTGCTCAGAGATGAATTCGCATTTTCGCGATACTGTAATGAAAAGTATAATACAAACGTGTTATCTCAAAGAATACGGAAGCTACGAATGTTGCAGACACAAAAGTCGAAGTTGAAACGGCTCGATTTAAACTTTGAACGCCCCGATGGACAAAGTTCTCCGCCAAAGAAGAAGGCAGTTTGTCAAGAAGACAGACGTTTCATACGTTGCAACCCATTATGTAGTAGGTTTTTCGTAGCACTCACCAGTTGTTAACTTGAAGGATCGTCAACCCCGTGTCCTGTGCCAGCTGCTTCTTCTGGTCTTCCGAAGGGTACGGATGCTGCAACAGAAAAGGAAACAACTTTAGCAAACTTTCTCCAAGCAACGAAGAAGAAGCTTCCCTGCGCAGAGATTCGATCCCTGGATTATTCGTCTATTAACACATTGACTGCCGCCAAAATTAATCTTCGTGATTAGATGTTAGAGAAAATAAATCTAGATAGGGTTCTTGAATTTTAACGAGTGTGGACATGCTAGTTTTTGTGTAAAGGCAAAGTTTCGTTTTTGAAGGCTTTGGTTTGGCTATCAATGTGTTGAACTGTTCTACGAAATATTCTTTTTGATCCTAAGACTCGAACATGATTGATGTTACTTTTTGTAATCCAAAAAATGACGAATTTTACAATCATATCAATTAAAAAAAATATTTCATGTTAACACTGTTATACAACGTAAGTAAATAATAAAAGAGAGCTAGAATTCAAGTTGGATGATATTTGTATAACCCAGACCGTCGACCTCGCGTGGTGGCTAATTGAAGCGTTCGAATTTCGCGCCCAGGCGGCGTCTAACGTTCAAAAATGGCTGTCACGGGGACCGAGAGCGCCGCTTGTCCGACCAGGTCCCACCCGCAATTTCCAGTGGTTATTTACGACGTAGGCCGTTGGAACAGAGAAAGCTGCGGCGTTTCGCGTCCCCTCGGGCGGTCCGTGCTTTTAAATAATTTATCGAGTGATTTATTGCGTAACAGGTAAGTGCACAGAGCGCATAGATGCACGGGGAACTTTTATCTACGCGACGGCAGACGCATTACAGGCGCCTCGTCGTCTGGACGCACCTGTGAAATATTATTTATCGTCGGGCAACAACAAGAATAAAGAGAGAGGAGAAGACAAAAAAAAAACCAGCAGACAGCACTAGAGGGAGGGGAGGGGGGACGAAGGACAAAGCGGGGTAAAAAAGCGTTCCTATAGAGAGGGACGAGCGCGTTTTATCGCGCTGTCGCATCGGCGCAGATGCGCTTCTGCGGAGACGACGATCCGTCCTCCGGTGCTCGTATTGGCTTTCACGAAAGGCAGACTTTATGAGGGGCCATCGAAGATATACGAGAGAAAGGTCAGTCGAGGACAGCCACGACGGAGAAACGAGCCACGGATAAGCGGTTTACAAGATAATCTTTCGTTCGCGAATCGTCGAAAGAAATCGACGTGAGCGCGCGATAACATTGCTAAAACGGCGCCGTTCGTAGCGTTTAACAGCGAGAAAAGTTGCAACCCCGTTTTGCAAGTTCGCCGCGGCTTCGTTGTAAATTATTCTACCACCGTCGTTTTTAACGTCCGTTTCCTTCTTTTTTTCCGCCTCGTACTTTGTGTAAGCTCGTTCTCTTAACAGCGGTCCCCGGCAATAACAACTTTCTGAATTGCAACCGTGCAGGGTAGTTATTCAGGGGAATAAATTTGTTGCCCAGGCGCGGTACACGCTCTTAAAAATAGAGATTAAAGGATTACGGTTCCACGGTGCTGTCCTACAAAAATTTAGACACGCATCTTCGACTATATCGAGTGTTTTTGCGGTACCGACGAGTTTAGTTTGAGATATCAGATTGTCGAGTTCCTACGATTCGAGATTGGGAGTTAAAACGTTGACTGTAGCGTCGAGAACGGAACGAACGGAAGATTTCGATCGGTCGTTCGCGAAAATTCGCCAAACGATAAAATATCGCTGTCGGTAGAAAGTCGCCCATTGGCAACGGCTCAAACGCGTCCCGCGACCGCGAAACTGGTGCTAGATGCATAAACGATGCACTGCTCTCTGTTATTCGGCATCGGTCTTGCCGCGCGAGTCCATAAATTCGTGTATAAATCTCATCGTTCTTCCAGGGAAGTTACTGGCCGCATTAATTTCGCGCTCGCGCCGCGGTCCCCGGTATCTTTCGAGCCCTCCTCCGCGCCGATGGGTGCCAAGGTGCGGAAAGACGAACGACACGCGCTCAAACTTACGCACCGTCGAGTGAAAACACGTGTACGACGCTTCTTTGCCCAACGATGACGTTAATCTACTTGTTGCGCTTCGCCTAATCGAGCTGCTTCCACGTACGTCAGCCTCGGGAACGCTCGAAATAGACCCCAGATATTAAATTTTAATCCCAGCCGGGCTGCAAAATCGTAAACACGTGCGTAATATACGTCTCTGAATATATGGATTGCGCCGCAGAACCCCCATGGATCGACGGATCAAAAATTAAAAGCAATTCGTCCGTGACAACGCCTTCGAAATGGGGGATGAAAGTTACTTGGATAGAAATTTAATTTCGAAGGCTCCGCGATACTGGCTGACGTTCCTTGTTAGGTTAATTGGAAGTATGTAAGACTTCTCCGATTTCTAACCGAGACGCTGGTTCCGCAATATGGTTGGGACATAAGTCACATTGTGAGTGAAAGGTAAATTGGACGTGGAGTACTTCGGCGTACGATTGGCTCTAGGACAGATTTAAATCGAGCTGATGCAAGAAATTATGGCCGGTGGGTAAAGATGCGCGAAACAGTACGGGAATCGCAGAAATGAAATGAGAAACAGATGGCCGTTGTCCCGGTGTTGTCAGGATGCAATCTTTCTTCGCGTTACGGATGAGAAACGCGCGGACTCCGCGGAACGTTAAAAAGGAATAAAAAAAAAAAGAATAAACGAAGAAACGAAACACGCGATCCACGGATAATCTCGTTAATTACATTACGAGCTGCGCGAAACGCCGATCCCGCGGGGACGATGCGCATCTTAATTTTGATCTCTTATTAGCTCCCATCGCGATATTAAAGTCACGTAATCGTCGCTGAACGCAACAAATCGCGGACATCACGCGCGGCCTCTCGCGTTCAGGAAGGCACGAAACGTATGCGGAACGCTGATACGTATCGTTGAACGAGTTTGTTTGGTACTTAAACAACAAAATTACAGACGCATATTTTTAAATCCTTGCCACGGTACGATTCCACCGATCCTTATCGTTCCGCCAAGGAAACAAACCACAACGAGAAATTAGGAACGCGTTGCCACTTCGCCGCGCAATAACTGCTTTTGTTAAATATTTTATTTAAGTGGATACGCGAGATTTACGAGTCTCGAGCCAGGCTTTATAATGTTATACAGGTCGTGGAATTTAAAACGCGACTGAATTATTCATTTGCTCTCAGTGATAGATAAAACTACTTCCCGAACGCATCTGGCTCGGTTTCAGAGGTGTCTTAATGGGGGAAAACGTAGATCGTTTCGACAAAGTTTTATAAAATAACAGATTTTGTTGGTACTCCGCGTGGAGGAATATTCCAAAATATTGTTCTCGATAAAGTCTCGCGAGCATTCGAGCGCAACGAAATTATCCGCGCAGTTTCGCGAGTAAGTTGAGATACGAGAATGGCGGGGGTTAAACCGGAAGTTATCGCGCGCCTTCTAGCGGCGGTCGATTAAATCAGCCCTGTTACGCGACCGCCGCGACACGTTCGATAGTAATTCACCTCCCGCGATACCCGTGGCGTTAAATTCGACGGAAAATCGGGCCCAGAACCGATGCCAAGCCCCCGGTTGTACGCGCGGAGGACTCGAGCGGATCCGGCTGCGCATAAAAGCCCGCGGCTGCACCGCAAGCGGCCGAACCGCATCATATTTTTACATAATTAGCACGTGGCGCTCGTGGTATTACGTTCCCCGTGCCCCAGACGTCCCTCACACCCCCCCTCGTGGTACCCCCGTTGGTCGTTACTTTTTGTCGAAGCCTGCGGTATTTTTGGAAACCACCGTAGCCCGCAGATCCCCTTCGACCCCTCGGCCTGTATATCATGTTTCTTGGAGGCGAGCCACCGGGGTATACGTACACCAGAAGCGTGGCTTCATGTCCTGCCCCACCCCCCCTTCAGCGCGAAAGCCCATTGTGCGGCCGTGTATACGCGATCCAAGCGATTCTTATCCTAATTAAATCGGCCGAGAGCATTGTCTGGGCGTAGAGTTTCTATCGGATCTCGGCGTGCTACCTACCGGTTTCCCCGTGTAACGTCATATCGGGGGTTGGGCGGGGGCGGAGGGTGGATTTAGACGCGAACGACCACGCGCAAGCCGGACTTGACGGGGATCGATCGTCGATCCGGATCTCCCCGGAGGGCCCCCCCGGTCGTGTCACGCCGCCGGCGACAACAGGTTCGCGACCGAGTTTCTGCCAGGGGAACTTTGACGCCAGGTATTTCGGGGTTGATGCGCCATGGATGAACCGTTTTATTAAATCAAGTTTCCCGATTACTCGTACGTATAGATAAGCGATTATTTTCAATCGTGGATATAGAAATGACGAGCACTTGCGAGAGTGGTAAAAGTCGAGCGTGGCCATCTGGCGGCGAGCGCGGGAGGTTCGACGTATCAGAGTGGGAATAAAAAATTAATACAAGTAGGTTTAATCCAATTCCATGGAATTGGACATTTTCCAACGATGTTTGATCGCGTTTCGCGAGTCTGAACGAAGAACAGAAAGGGTGATCCATTTTTCAGCGCCGACCGTAGCGTTTTAAGAACGATTGCTTCGGTCTGGCTTAACGTTGATACAGCCTCGACCCTTCTCAACAAGTTTGCAAGTACAAACACCTTCTACAAAATGCTGCACTGGCTCGCATTTCGCCGTGAAATCCAAGTACCCGTCCCCCCCTTTCGCTCGGTGGAGCTGGCTCGCGCCAGTCTCGTTGGTGTATGCATAAAACAATCAAGATAATTGTTGAAGCTACATGGGGACCGGCTGGCTGACTGCTTTCCACCCTCTTCTGGGATCGAGGTAGCTGCCGGAACGGCAGGCGGAAGTAAAAGGGACAAAGAGAGAAAGAGAGAAGGCAGGAGCTATCCAATTACATTGAAAACAATAGTCTTAAGTGCTCGCGGCGGTCCGTTCTGGGCTGTTCCCCGACCCCGGCCGACCGATGCTTTTCCACGAGGGTCGTCACCGCCCCCGCCCCCCCCTCGGACCCTTCGTGACGATGCACAAGTTTGACTCGGTAAAAGTATTATCGCGAGAAAGTTGCAGGTAAC